CTGGCAGTGTGTGTCTGCTTCCACCACCAGCTCTGGCAGTGTGTGTCCCAAGCACTCTCCACCCACTATGTGTGAAAATGTTACCTTGCACATCTCTTCAAGCACCCCCACCCCGACTCCTTGAATCTGTGTCCCCTGGTAATTGACCCCTCCATCCTGGGGAAAAAATCTTATACTTTCCACTCTATCCATGCCATTCACAATCTTATAAGCTTTTATCAGCTCGCTCTTCAATCTTCTCATTCCAGTGAAAACAAACCCAGTCTAACCCACTTTTTTTCTTCGTAGCTAAGATCCCCCTTACCAGGCAACATCCTGGTAAACATTTTCTGTATCCTCTACAAAGCATCCACATCCATCTGATAGTGTGGAGGCCAGAACAATACGCAATATTCCAAGTGTGGCCTAACGAAAGTCCTATCCTCATACTCAATGCCCCTTCTGATGAGGACAAGCATGCCATAAGCCTTTTTTATTACCTTTATCTACCTGTGCTGCCACCTTCATTGACTGTGGGCCTGCACAGTCAGATCCCTCTGCATATCAATACTCCTAAAGGTTCTGCCATTCACTGTATAATTCACTGTACTTGACCTTCTAAAATGTGTCACCTCACATTTGTCCAAATTAAACTCCATCTACCATTTTTATGCCCATGCACCCAATGGATTTCTATCCAGCTGTATCCTCTAACAATCCTTCTCACTATCTGCAACTCCTCCAATCTTTGTATTGTCCACAAACTTACAGCCACCTTTTTCTCCAAATCATTTATGTAGAACACAAACATCAAGGTCCCAGCACTGATCCCTTTGGAACACCACTAGTCACAACCCTCCATTCCGAAAAGCATCCTTCCACCACGACCCTCTGTCTCCTATGACTAAACCAATTCTGTATCCATCTTGCCAGCTCATCCCGATACCATGTGACTTCACCTTTTGTACCAGCCTGCCATGAGGGACCCTGTCAAAAGCTTTACTGAAATCCATGTAAACAACATCAACGACTTTTCCCTCATCAATTAATTTCATCACCTCCTCAAAAAACTCGATCAAGTTACTGAGGCACAACCTTCCCTGCACAAAACTATGCTGTCTACTGCTAATAAGTCCGTTTACTTCTAAATGCATATTAGATCTTGTCCCTGAGGACCTTTTCCAATAATTTCCCTACCATGAGGCCAGAACTGTATGCAATATTCCTGTAATTTCTTGGATTATCCCTGCTACCCTTCTTAAACAATGGGACAACATCTGGCTATTCTCCAGTCCTCTGTGACCTCACCTGTGTCCAAAGAAGATACAAACATGTCTGTCAATACTCTTGCAATTTGTTCTATTGCCTCCCTCAATATTCTGGGATAGATCCCATCAGGACCCAGGGACTTATCTACCTTAATACTTTTTAACATGCACAACACCTCTTCCTGTTTGATAATTTCAACTTCAATTCTTCAGTCTAGCTGGGGAAAAAAAAACTTATAGCATGAAATATTTGTGAAAATGTCTGGTAAGCCAAACATTAAGTTTTATTGAATCATCAAGCAACACAGGCAAAAACTTTCTCATGGTAACGTGCAGGTTTCCAGTATCCTGTTACTTACAGCCTATCTGCTATGTTATAGTTTACCGTTATAATTCCATGGTGTGGGAGTGGTGATCCTCTGACACTTAGTCCCTAAATAGTTCCACTTATTCATTTTCTTTATGTCCTGAAATCTTACCAAAAGTTGAATTATCCCTTCTAATATTTCTTTCTTTGACTCAACATTCATTCCTTTATTAATTATGCCTCTGTGAAGCATATTTTCCACGTAATCACAATGAAATCATGGGGTGTTATTGAGAATATGACTAGCTGTGCAGTGTGCCAAGATTAAATGATGATGAATATGAATGTGTTTGCTGTGATAGTGCTGGTAATTTGAAAACATTTTGTAATGAAGAAAGATTGTTACACAGTTTTAAAGCATGTTAATGTTAAAAATATAATTTTGTTTTTTTTTCACCCCTTTGGTAAATGAACCCAATGGTGCCATGGCTAGCCAGTGAAATTCAGTTATAAAGTAAATATTTACTGTTGGAGACTTCATCAGTCCAAAGCAATAACCAAGAATCCTGTGCATTGTGTAGCATTTTGCTGAACTCATAATTCTAGACTGGTGTTTCTTGTTTTGTTTTTAACTGTACCAGTCACAATGTTCATTGCTGTGTGGTTGCTAGGTTACTTTCTGAAGTATTGTCTGCTTACCAAGCAAACTCAATAAAATCTCTTGTTTTCTGTAGATCGAAGTATTTTAGAACAAGCTCTATCGGGGAGCACTTCACTATAGAGGTAAGTAGATTTGTGATGATTATACATCATCTGACTTGCACACTATTGTTACTGTAGTACTGTCACTAAAATGGATGCATGAGTAAAGTTCTGTAAAAATGGCACACACTAGATTTTTCCATTGAATATGCCGGTAGAAGATGGTGTTGCTTCAGCATTTAATGTTCCCATTTGGAGTGAGAAAGTTAGTATTTCTACATGCCAAATTATTTTAAAAGTGTCTAGTTCATGGGTGCAACACTTATCTGCATCTTCCAATGTACTCTGTTGCAAGATTAAGATTGTTCCGTGGAGGAATAATCTCTGATTCAGTCCAGTTCTTCATGAACTTAACTGCTGATCATAAAATGTGAAGTACATCGGCATAATTTTGTGACATTTTTCTCCCGTGCCAGAATAAAACAAATGGTTTGCCATTAGAGTACAGCTGTTGGTGAACGATCAGTAGAGAATCTGTGTGTTATGTACAATTTGGGTCAGGCTCACCCCAAGGTAAATCTGTTTTTCTCTTAAATCACAGTGAAAGTATGCTAGTCTTTTTGTTTGAAAACATTTAAAGCCTGTCAGGGGATTTCTTGTGGCCCCTAAAGGGGCAAAAATGAAAATAAACCAGTCAGGGATATAACAATACTTTTGAGCTTTTATAAGTATCTTAAAAAGAGAGAAAGTGAATAAAGTAAACATTGAACCCTCACAGTACAGAAAAAAAGTCTTGGGGATTGAGGAAAATGGCAAGAGACATTGAACAAATATTTTGTACCTTCATAGAATATACAAATTACATTGAGAAAAAGTGAGGAACACAAACTGAGATGAGGAGGAATTTCTTCAACCAGGGAGAGGTGAATTGTGGGACTCATTGTGACAGAAGGCAGTAGAGGCCTAGTCATTGAGTGTATTTAAGCCAGAGATAGGTTCTTGATTAGTAAGGAGATCAAAGGTTATGGGGAGAATGGGGTTGAGAAATATATTAGCCACGATTGAATGGTGGAACAGACTTGATGGGCTGATTAGCCTAATTCTCTTATGGTCTAATTAATATCCGTAGAGAAAAAGCTTTAGGTTTGAGGGAATAAAACTGACTCAACCTCGAGAAATGACGGCCTAGATACACCACCTACCTTTCCCCAGCCCCACCTGTCATCCCTCTCTCCCACCTATCCTCCCCACCTTTCCCACTGACCAATCCCCGCCACCCCCTACCTGCATCCACCTATCGCCGCCCCACCCCTCCTCCGTTTATTTATTTCCCAGCTCCCTTCCCTCTCCCCAGTTCTGAAGAAGGGTCCTGACCCGAAATGTCAACTTTCCTGTTCCTCTGATGCTGCCTGACCTGCTGTGTTCCTCCAGCTCCACACTGTGTTGACTCTGACTATAGCATCTGGAGTTCTTGCTATCTTCAGCCTAGATACCAAGTTTCTTGGAGATAACTGTGGACATAGTGAATGTGCTGGTGATAATTTTCCAATATTGCGTAGGTTGTAGAATAGTACCAGTAGATTAGAAGTTAATAAACGTAATTCTGTTCAAGAAAGGAGAGCAAGAAATAAAGGGTAATTACAGGCTAATTAACTTCACAAAAATACTGGAATCTATTTTTAGGGGATTCCTAATAAAGCACTTAGCAACCCACACTCTGATCAGATATTGTCACCATGGTTTTATGAAAAGGTAATCATAGTTGACAAAGCTTGATGTGTTGGTATAGGGCTTTGACGATTCATAACTAGAGTACTGTGAGCCCTTTCCCCTCCATATCTCAGGAAGGATGTAATTGCCTTGGAGGCAGCACAGCAGTAGCTCACCAGATTAGTTCCTGTGCTAAATTGGTTGTATGTGTAATGAGAAGCTGAGTAAATTGCACTCTGTGTAGCCTTTGGTGTTTCGAAGAGTGGAAGGTGATTTCACTGAAACATTCAGTTCTGGAAGTGTTTGGCACCTTGGCACAGAGATTGTTTCCCCAGTTGATGAACCTAGAATACAGGGGCATAATCTCAGGATAAAGGACCAATCATTTAAGACTGAGATGAGAAACGTCTTCACTCAGTTGTGAATACTCAAATTACCTACTCAAGAGGGTTGTGGAGGCTACATTGTTGAATGTATTTAACATTGAATTTGATTTCTCAAGGAATTGAGAGATATGGGTAGCCAGCAGGAACGTGGAGTTGAAACTGAAGATTAGCCATGATTGTATTGAATGGCAGAGGAGGCTCCAGTGATCAGGATGTCTGATCCTTTTGCTTATTATCATGAAGAGGGTTTGTTGAAGTTTCACAATTAAATGCACCTTTGATTGTCAACAGTTTTCATCAAGACCTATGCTGATCAGCAGTGAAATGTTTTGCTGATGTTGCTCATTCATGCCATACAATGTGCAACATGTAAGCCCCTCACTTTTTAACGACATCTTTTGGAAGAGTGAGAAGACAATGGAAAGAGGGGGATACGAGTGAAGGGAGTATCTCTGATAGACTTGTACATAGCTGCAGATGTGAATGAATTTTTACATGTTAGTGCACTAAGTATGTTATCAAGTTCACATGGGAATTGGGGTCTTTACTAACTGAATTTTCCCAGCATTTACTCTGTAGCATGAGATTTAATAACTATTACAGCAGTACTTAACTTTCCAAAATTGTAGCTTTGGAAGACAAAAAGTAGGAATTGCATGAAGCAATGAGGTCATGATGTGCATTGAACTCATGTCAACAATTTATCTGATGCCAAATGTACCCAATTATCAGTATATTCTTTATGTAAATAAATTTTGTTCTTAGAAGGAATAAAAGCTAACCTTCAAATGGAGTTGGGGATGGGGACAATGGTCATCGTCGTGAGTAGCTGTCCCATGGGCATTGGCCAAAAAAGTTCAAATGATTGATGGCACAGAGTAAATTACATGCCCCTAGAAATATAACAGCAAGTGCTCAGGGCTGAGTGAGTCATCATCGGACAATTCCCAGCAGTTTTCAGCATTTATCCTCATTGGGTAGTCTTCTCCAAATGAAAGATGGGCCCGAAGAAGAGGAGGAAGACCAGGGAAAAGTCCCCTAACACTTGACTAGAGAACAAGATGCTGCCCCACAACTTGAACAAGAACAACACATTCCGCACCAGCAGCCTGTTGTCCTCGGGTGTGGGCCATCTCGATTGTTATGGTTGTATACTTTCTTAATTCAATTAACTAGTATATCACACCTGAATTGCTGCTTAACAGCTCAATAAGCTATCAGAAAATTGCTACAAATCATCGACTGCCTGTATTAGGTAACTGTGATCATGAACCCCCTAAGATCAACATTCGTTGCCCAGTAACCACCTTTCAATTTGTTGTTGTTTACCAATTATGAGAAGCTCAATGATTTGTGTACAGTCTATGCTAGAACAGCCAAATAGTTAACATCATTAATCAGTACAGTTATATGCGCCAGACATTTCCTTTTAATCTTAATACTTGAATCCTTCAGAAACACCCTAATATGCTATGCTGGAGACTAAAAAGATGTATTTTATGTATTAACTATAGTTTCATTGCCAATTTGAGGGCTGTAATATATTTTTAGACTTCTGATACTTGAAGTACAATTGTTTTAGTTTTTAATTATAAGGCAAAAAACAATTTTTACCAGTACCACAAAGGCTGAATTTTGCTACGTGCTAACACCCCGCATTATTTATCCAGTAAGGACTGCCCTACGTTTTTTAAGCTATTTGTTTACAGGCTCATTTAATGCAGGGCTCTAAGAATCCCAGAGGCTGGTTGACACCAGCATGTGATTAATGACTCCCACTGGTTGCTCACTTATTGACTGTTCCCTTGAGTATTAAGACCAGCCTGGCTCAGTTATTGAGTTATTCAGTCTGCGGTTTAACTTTGATTTCAGTGTTCATAATTTATTACGTCATTGTGAAATTGTCTGTACTATATAGCGACTGTGCTTATCCCCTCTAGTGCTCCTGTCACCAAAAAAAATGGTTAGTAACTAGCTAATCATTTAGGCAGTTGATGGCAAGGATTTATCTCATTAGACTTCTTGTGATTGGCAACTAAGTAGTACAACTCACCATGCACTGTGACTGTATTGCTGCTGTCTTCTTGATTACTGCATAAGAGCATGGCAAATGTCCTCCAAATTTCCCTGCTTAGTTGGTGCATTGTAGCAGCAGTTTTGTCTGAAATCTGACAGAGCAAAACCTAAATTAATACGGAGTTCTTTCACTAGAGGTCACTGTTGACAGGTGTTATTAATGGCTGCCTCTATGCAGATAGATGTTTCTGTTTATCTCCGGGTGTTTTTGTGGGGAAAATTGACACGTTTGATTCTTATTTCGGTATATCATGATATCAATTGTCTACACACAGACTCTTTATTGAAAGTCCCTAGAACACTCTTCCTCAGTAGGTAGTAGTAGCAGAGTGTTTAATTATTTTTAAGACCAATTAAATTCATGATAAGCGAGGCGGTGTAAGGTTATCGGGGCAGGAGGGAATATGGAGTGATCAGATTAATTTCTGCAAGGAACACTTGCAATGGTCAATTTTTGCTCTTTTTTCTGAAATTGGAAGGATTTGACTTAGCTATCATTCTTATCGTCTGGTTCTTTTATATAAAATTTATATCTGTCTTCCTCACTTAGTCCCATCTTATCAGTTTTGAAAAACCATCTCATCGTGATATATGATATGAAGTTAAAATTAACCACCACTCTGCTTTTTATTTACAGTTTGAGAATTTGGTGGAGAGTGATGAGGTACGTTTAAATCCATTCCCATTGGGAATCCATCAAACTGCACTTAGTGACTATTAGTGTTAACTGTATCCCAGCTGTGTTTCCAGCAGACTCTGAGATCACCATTGAACATATCTAATTGTTACAATTGAGGCTAGACAAAAAGGCTGAACCTGAAGCAATCCAGGGAATTCTATTGTTTTTTGTAAATTGTTGACAATTTAAAAACCAGTATTTTGCACATTATATCTTTTGAAACATTAAGTTGAAGGACTTTTTAAACCATTTTAGGATTTTTCAAAATAAATGAAAGAAAAATTTAATCTTCTTTCCCTATAAGATAATCGTGATCTTGCTGTCTTACAAAGTATTTCTCAAAATGTTGTGTCTTTTTGAGAAGTTCTAGTCTCCATTTTCCCATTGAAAGTAAATGTGCTGGATTTATAGTGTAAGTAAACTCTTTGATAATTGGTCATCCTATTTTGGTATCGCGGCAATAAAACATCAGAAGTTACAAACAATGAAGACATTTCAAAATATTTTAGCACCCCCCCAGCCTCCCCCAATGTTATTTCTTGGAAATGCAGCATGGTTGATGGCAGTATGAAATATGGTGAACGTGTTGGGCAGCAATAGCAGAGGACTGTATTCTCTTGTGGTGTACCTTGGATATTTTGTTTGCAGAAGAATAGAATAGAATTGAAAACCTTTATTGTCGTGTGTACAGAAGTACAGGAATACAGTAAAAAAAATTTACAATGTTGCCCGACATGGCACCATTTTAGTTGCAAAGTATCTTGGTAGAAATCTTAGATAGAAAACAGAGATAAAGAAGAAAAAGGGGGAAGGAAATGTTACGCTACCTTACAGTTATTCATAGTATGAGTTAGAAAAATATGAAATAAAGTTAGAAAGATAAGCATTACAGCCTTTCTAGAAAGGGCCTGCAGTAGATCAGCACAGGGGGAATTCCACACATGGTCTGACTGGGCTCACAAGCCACTGACCACCCACACCGGTCCCCAGTCCAACAACCGTCCTCTCCATCGCTCAAGCCTCCAGCTCAGTGGCTGTCCCCATTCCATTTGGGGCACGCTGGCCGTCCCCATTTCGCTAAGGCCTCCAGCCCACTGACCATCCTCCATGCCTCCAGCCCACTCTGCATCAGGGAATAGCACCAAAAAGAGGGGAAAAACATAGAAAGAAATGGGAAATCAACAGAAAGAGTGGAGGAGCTCAGGTTGGAGTATCCTGCATTGCCGCCATCTTGACCAGAAAGGTCAAGTTTAAGTGAGAGTGAGCCTAATAGAAAACTTGCATTGCTATAATTTTTCAAACATTTGACCCTTGCTGTTAAAGTGATGCATTTGCCGGATCTTTTTTAAAAAATCAGTTGTTGTATTTGGAGCTTCCAGAGCCAAGCAGCGTTTTGCCTGAGTGAAAAATGAGATACTTAAGTTATTCTTATCCGCTTTAAAACTTACGCATGTCAAACTTGTGGTTACTGCAAATGATCAAATTAAAACTAGCAAATAGCCTTGCAATGAAAGTTGGAAAAATTTCAGACTCAAATATATTGAACCTATCCTGTTTCACTCTACTGATAAATTGAAATTGTGAATTATCAGTGCTTTGAGTTGATACTGCTACAGGAATTGGAATGCCAATGACACCTCACATTTCTTAGCATTGTGTTCTGTGCCCGTGATCCTTATTCAATGAATTAGTGGATGTAAAACTACTATGCTATTTATATAAATATCTTTACACAATGTTTCATATGAGCATGATATAAATATTTACAATTTTAGAACTAGGGAAACAGATAGGAATGTCACCACCTACAAGTTTATTTCAGGGTCGCATATTATCCTAACTTGGAAGTATATGTCTCTTTCTCCATCTCTGCCAGGTCAAAATCCTGGACTGATATCCCTTATAGCACTGCCATGTACCTACAGTGCGTTGTATTCAGAAGGATTCTCACATTCACCTTCTCGAAAACAAATGGGATAGGCAGTAAATGCTTATCTTGTCACCAACATCCACGTCTCATTAATGGCAAAAGACCGATGTGATTTGTAAAAAAAAAAAAAAAATCCTTGTAATCATTTACAGATTTACAACAGTAAGCAAATACAAGTTACTGATATTTGACAATGCAGTTAATCTGGCGTGTGATGTAATTTTTAAAAATATATGTAATGAACCACTTGAGAGCAAAAAGATACTCTCCAGTTTAAAGAAATAACTTTCCCAAAATGTGTTCTAGCTTTAGTATTTGAGCTCCATCATCTGATGCAGTTCCAGAACCAGAATCCATATTGGCTGAAGCCTAATTGTATCACTACGGTAGACCTGCAAAAGCGGCAACTGAACAATGATGCACAACTATATTCTGTGTAAATACCAATTGCTGACTTTGTGAATCATTAAATCGTAGGCTTACAATAGAAAATAAATGCAACTAATTTGTTGTGTTTTTTTCATTTAGTAATTGTTTACAGTACAATAATACACTGTTTTGTAATGATGTAACATGTAAGAACAAAATCCTTTGTAAATATCATCCCAAATAAAATAAAGTAGGTACGTATTGTCATACAGGAATGGAATTAATTTTGTCAGTTTGATTTGCTGTTCTCTTTGATGCATAAGCATTTTTTTTTCAGGTGTTAACATAAAATACTCATTAAATTATTTTCATGTTTACTTTGTCTTGTGGCTTGTCACTTCTGTAATTGAAATGATAATGTTCACACTCATGCGAGTTTTATAACTTTTGCTTTATTTTTACAGGCTGAAAGCCCAGGATTTAATCAGAGGTAAGAAGATCAAAAAGTCATACAATTGAAGGAGTGTATTTGGTAGCTGAGACCTGACTTATTTGTATGTCACTAGGAATTGGCATATCATTCAGGTTAATCATTTTTAATATTTTTAAAAAGCATTTCTTCTAATGTACAGAAAAATTGTTCAAACATTTGTTCCTTGCGATACTCAGCGGCATCTATGGAGAGAAAACAAAGTTAACATTTCGACTCCTGTGATTCTTCTTCAGAAGGCTGTTCTGAACACAATTTGTGTTAATGTGACAGACCAAATAATAGTATGTGTTAACTCATAAAAGAAATACAGTCATTTCATGGATTTCATCTAGTCCTCTTATCACACACCCCTGAATTCCTTCCCTCTTCCTAGAAACATACCCGATTGTGTCTCAAGTTCCTTGTATGTAAATTTAGCAATGGGACTCAATGTTAACTCTGTTTTCTCTCCACAAATACTATCAGCAGTTTGTTTTTGTTTCAGGTCTCCAGCGTCTGCAGTTCTGTGTTTTATTAAACATTCTTTCCTTCTGACTTCCTACACAGTGAGGAAACTTGCACTCTACTACATATTCTCAAACACCTAGAGGCTAATGGTCACCTTTTTTCAATATTTATTTTATATGTAAAGGATTATTTTTATTTCCCCTCCTTCAAGGTTGGGAATGCTGGGGCAACTGATATTATCACTGTTGTCATGTAGGTAGTTTGGGCATCGACTTTGCATTCTTGGATTATAGAATTATGTAAAAAGCAATCTGAGAATGTTGCTGAAATTTGTATATCCAGTTGTTTCTAGAATTTCTTGTATGTTTCTAGAAAGAGGAAGGAATTAAGGGAAACATAAGAGGACCAGATGAGGTCTGTGAAAAGAGCATGTTTAATATAAAAATGAGTTAACATGACAGACCAAAGAATATTGCAAAATTGTTCTTTTGCTTCAAAAGACTAGAACAGTTTCTGGGCTATTCAGCCTCGAGAGCATAGCCATAAAGTTGAAAGATCTTGCAAACTGAATATGTTAACTAATCTTGAATTGTTGAAGAAATCTCACATTGTTTGAATCAGTTCTAATTTTGACAAATAATGAAACCAATTTTTGATTCTGCTTTTCACATTGTGTTTCTAAGTTTAAAATAAGCTTAAAATGAGAAGTACAGAGAGAAACTCATTTACAAATTGTTGAACAGTAATATTGTGTGGAAGATGTAAAATATTCTAACATTCTGGGAGTTAGCCTTTATTTGGGTCACACGTTTTGGACTTGCAGTGCCCATCTTGCATTTTTGGTTTCATATTGGTACCCAAAGTATTGATGAATATTTCAGGTTGTAGCTGCTAATTGGATGTCAATGGTGCTATTTTATAAATCAGTGTTCCAGCTAATGCTCTGTCTTAATCATTTACAGCTGAATACATGACCAATACCACCAGGAATTCCCTTGCCATTTAAAGCTATACATAACCATCGCTTAGTTGTTGGGTTTCCGCTGGCCTTTACTTAGTTTGTAGTTCAGTGGTGTTATTAAAGTTTCCAAAGTCTATAAAGGGTGGAGTCACAAGTGAGGAAGATCTTTGTCTTGACTTCTAGGTCTCTGGACAAAACTTGTGGAGCAGTTAGTATTCCTGTTAGACTAATGTGTCACCAGAACAGTCAGCAGAGCTGAGACAGAGCAGAACAAGTAACTGGAAAAGGAGTTAGTCGGATTCTCAGCAGGAGACCATGGTATTGGGGGTGTAATTACCGTACATCTGCCTCAGCGAGGAACAGTTTTAGATCCTGCTTTAATAAGGAGGTGTTCACTAAAATCTGCAGCCTGATGAAATTTGCGGCAGAGCAAGGATTGCGTTGGAAGGGACTGTGAGCTTGTGAATGACTTAAGCATTTTGTTCCTTTTTGATGAAAGTAGTTGATGTTTGCAATATTTCACTCCACCACAGAGAAGAAATAGGGTGAACACTTAGCTTTGTGAGGACAGCAAGCTTTCTTCAAATCGTGTAGAATGCCATTAATTGTAATATGTTGCTTTGCAGGCACTGCATGTGAACTCTGAAATGTACCACAATCAGAAAATATTCTACTCCCTTCAACATCCAGCTAGTGTGATTCCATAAGCAGCAATTATCCAGGCCAATTCCCAATATCCTGACAGCAGGAATGCTGACTTTAATCTGCAGCAGTCCACAGTGCCGCTGTATTTGATGTATTATGGTGAACTAATTGGCAACCTAATGGGCAACAGGGTCCATGGCCAACTTCTGTGCACAATCCAGGCATATGTGCACAAGAAGCAGATTAATGACAGCCAGGCTGTTGCATGAAGTGTGAGCAAGCGGACTGATAAACACTAATGCTGCATCGCTGTAAGAGAGGCCTGCAGGATTCAGCAAGAGTCCATTTTCATGGTCCGTCACAGTCGCTGCATGCTGTACTCCCCTCTGTTCTGAGTATGAGGGACAGGTTTGCCACTAGGTATTCAAGTCTTTATTAATGTAAATCAAAATCAGTGGTTCTGATAGTAAATCTTAGGAAATACTACTGTAAATTTTTTTTCTAGTCTAAGAAAACAGCCATTTGCCACTACTCTAGTTTCTGTCCACTGGCCAATTTTGTATCCATTGTGACCACGCTTCATTCCATGGGCTTCAACTTTGCTCACAACCCTAAATGTGACACTTCATCAAACATCTTTTGGTAGTCATAGAGATGTACAGCACAGAAACAGATCCTTCGGTCTAACTCGTCCGTGCCAACCAGATATCCCAAATTAATCTTGTCCCACTTGCCAGCATTTGGCTCATATCCCTCCAAACCCTTCCTATTCATATACCCATCCAAATGTCTTTTAAATGTTGTAATTATACCAGCCTCCACCACTTCCTCTGGCAGTTCGTTGGGTACACTCTCCACTCTCTATGTGAAAACATTGCCCCTTAGGTCCCTTTTAAATCTTTCCCCTCTCATTTTTAAACTTATGCCCTCTAGTTTTGGACTCCCCCACCCCAGGGAAGAGACCTTGACTATTCACCCTATCCATGCCCCTCATGCTTTTATAAACCTCTATAAGTCACCCCTCAGCCTCTGATGCTCCAGGGAAGATAGCCCCAGCCTATTCAACCTCTCCCCGTAGCTCAAACCGTCCAATCCTGGCAACGTCCTTGTAAATCTTTTCTGAAGCCTTTCAAGTTTTACAACATCCTTCCTATAGCAGGGAGACCAAAATTGAACGCGGTATTCCAAAAGTGGCCTCACCAATGTCCTGTACAGCCGCAACATGACCTCCCAACTCCTATGCTAAATGCACTGACCAATAAAGGCAAGCATACCAAACACCACCTTCACAACCCTGTCTACCTGTAACTCCACTTTCAAGGAACTATGAACCTGCACACCAAGGCCCCCTTGTTTGGCAACACTCCCCAGGACCTTACCATTAAGTGTATAAGTCCTGCCCTGATTTGCTGTACCAAAATGCAGCACCTCACATTTATCTAAATTAAACTCCATCTGCCACTCCTTGTCCAATCTCATCAAGGTCCCGTTGTACTGAGAGTCAACTTTCTTGGCTGTCCACAATACCATCAATTTTGGTGTCATCTGTAGATTTACTAACCATACCTCCTAGCTTCATATCCAAATCATTTATATAAATGAGAAAAAGCAGTGGACCCAGCACCGATCCTGCAGCACACTGCTGGTCACAGGCCTCCAGTCTGAAAAGCAACCCTCCACCACCACCCTCTGTTCTCCTACCTTCTAGCCAATGTTCTATCCAAATGGCTAGTTCTCCCAGTATTCCATGTGATCTAACTTTGTTAACCAGTCTACCCTGAACAACCTTGTCAAACGCCATGCAGAAGTTCATATAGACCTCCCTGCCGCCTTCAATCCTCTTTCTCACATCCTCAGAAAACTCAGTCACTTTCGTGAGACACACTTTCCCATGCAAGAAGATATGTTGACTGTCCCTAATCAGTCCTTGCCTTTACAAATACATGTAAATCCCCTCCCTCAGAATCCCCTCCAACAACTTGCCCACAACCGATGTCAGGTTCACTGGTCTGTAATTCCCTGGCTTTTCCTTATGACCTTTGCTAAGTAATAGCACCACATTAGCCAACCTCCAATCTTCCGGCACCTCACCTGTGGCTATCGATGATACAATTATCTCAGCCAGGGGCCCAGCAATCTCTTCCCACAGAATTCTAGAGTGCACCTGATCTGGTCCTGGGGATTTATCCACCTTTTACCCACCAGGCTGTGATGGACCATGACAATGGACTCTTGCTGAGTTCTACAGGGCTCTCCTAGAGCGATGCAGCATTACTGTGTATTTTAAGATGTCCTGCACCACCACCTCTGTAATATGGACACTTTTCAAAATGTCACTATTTATTTCCCCAAGCTCTCTAGCTTCCTTATCCTTCTCCACCATAAACTCTGATGCAAAATACTCATTTGGTATCCCCCCCATCTTCTGCAGTTCCACGCATAGGTAGCCTTGCTGATCTTTAAGGGGCCCTATTCTGTCCCTAGTTACTCTTTTTTGTCTTTAATGTATTTGTAGAAACCCTTTGGATTCTACTCAACCCTATTTGCCAAAGCTATCTTGTGTCCCCTTTTTGCCCTCCTGATTTCCCTTTTAAGTATACTTCCACTACCATAATACTCCCCTAGGAATTTACTTGATCCCTGCTGTCTAACCTGGCATATGCTTTCTTCTTTTTCTTGACCAGAACCCCTCTTTCTCTAGTCATCCAGCATTCCCTACATCTGACAACTTTGCCTTTCATCCTCACAGGGACGTGCTGACCCTAGACACTCGTTATCTCATTTTTTGAAGGCTTCCCACGCTCCAGCCATTTCTTTACCTGCAAATATCCCCCTCCAATCAACTTTTGAAAGTTCTTGCCGAATACTGTCAAAATTGGCCTTCCTCCAATTTAGAACTCTGCCTTTTAACCGTAACTATTTTAAAATTAATAGAACTCTGATCCCTGGCTCCAAAGTGCTCCCCTACTGACACCTCAGTCACTTGCCCTGCTTATTTCCTAAGAGTAGGTCAAGTTTTTCTCTTCCTGTAGTAGGTACATCCACGTACTGAATCAGAAAATTTTCTTGTACACACTTAACAAATTCCTCTCCATCCAAGCCCTTAACACTATGGCAGTCCCACTCTATACTTGGTAAGTTAAAATCCCCTGCCATTACCACCCTACTATACTTACAGATAACTGAGATCTCCTTACAAATTTGCTTCTCAGTTTCCTGTTGCTTATTGTGGGGATGAACTCAGGGCGTGGTTGGGAACATTGGACTTGAATGTCATAACAATTACATGTGGCTCAGGGATAGACAGAGCTAGCAGCTTAATGTTCTGGGGTATACATGCTATACGAAGGACAAAGTGGGGGGCAAGAGAGGAAAGGGAGTGGTGTTTTTTGTATAATATAATCCCAAGGAGGTGATCATCCCTTTCTTATTTCTCACTTCCACCCAAATAACTTCACTGGAATATCCTCCCTAAGTACGGCTGTAATATTATCCCTCGTCAAAAACACCACTCCCTTTCTCTCTTGCCCCCCACTTTCTATCCTTCATATAGCATGTACACCCCGGAACATTAAGCTGCTCGTCCTGTCTGTCCCTGTAGTAGCTATGACGTCCAAGTCCCATGTTCCCAAACATGCCCTGAGTTCATCTGCCTTACCTGTCAGGCCTCTTGCATTGAAATAAATGCAGTTTAATTTATCAGTTCTACCTCGTTTTCTGCTTTGCTCCTGCCTGCTTTGACTATTTGACTTGCTCCTTTCCCAAACTGCACCAGCCTCAGACTGATCTCTTTTCTCACTATCTCTCTCGATCCCACCCCTTTACTAGGTTAAATCCTCCTGGGTTGTTCTAGCAAACCCCATATACATCAAATCAACTGTGCTAGTGTCATCAACCCCCTCTATTATCTCATTAAACCATGTTAATTAATAAGTTATTTCCTTTACCATGTCAATGCTGGCTTTACTTAATTAATCCCCATGTCCAAGGGTGTGTACTTTTGTCCTAAATTACTATTTCTAAAAGCTTTACCAACACTATAATGTTATACTGACTGCCCCATGATTGCTGGATTTATTCTTGCACCACTTTATGACAAAGGGATATTACCACTTGTCCATTCCTCTGGCACCATTCTCAGATGAAGAAGAATTGAAAGATTATACCCAGTACCACCACCCTCCTTCTCTCAGCATCTTCAGAACCATCGTAACCAGTCCTAATGACTTCTAAACTGATAAATACAGCTGATCTTTCTAACATCTTTTTAATCTACCCAGAATCCAAACTGCCTCATTTTTCACTAAGACTTTGCCAGCATCATCATCCTTGGTATGGACAGATTCATGCTCCAAGGAAAGAATGCCACTCCTTTGAGGCAGCTTCTTAACAATTTTAGCAATGTGTGGGACGACACCCTGCACATGTTTACACACTATTGTCTCTAGCCATCATGGTAGACTTCAACATCTGAATGTTGAATGTCTTCTGCTTATGCTGCAATGGAAGTTGAGACATCAGTCGTTAGACACGGAATCATACTTAGATTGGCATGTCTGCTAATCAAATTAGCCACTACTTCCAACCCTTGGATGCAAATCTATGTCAACCATCAGGTTATATATCATGCTCGGTAATATTTGCCACAGGCATTTTTTTGGCAAGCTTGACAATGCAATAAGATTTCACCATACATCTACCTTCTGTAGGATGCCCCATCGAAATCCTCATTTGAAATCTTTTTGCAGAACACCAATGCTCCCTTTATCCCTATTACTAGTACTGGTCTGCTCAGGCCCAGTCTGTCACCACGTGCCGATCCTATCTCTAAGTTGTCCTCTGATTTGCATGAAATTTTAGCTTCTAATTTGATGATAACAGCCGATGATCCTTCTTCATTATTGTTCTTTCACCTCTTTCTCCTCAAAACCTCTGGCAAGGTTCTTGAATATCTGAAAGAAGAAAGGCACAGATGTAGCTTTATGGGCAAGGGGTGAGAAGCAAGAGGTCTATGTCTTAGATTTTATGCAGTCTAAAATCTAAGGAAGCTACTTCAGAGCAGCTGGCATCCAGGTATTGCAGAAAATACGTCCAGTACATGTTGTCAGTGACACGCATGTTGTAATTTCTGTAACTTGTCATGTTCTTTAAAAACTAAATTCCCAGGTGGATCAGTTAATGAGTTGCAAAGTCTAACCTTGAGCGATCTTGCTGAACGTTTTAAAATTGGGGTTGGAAAGACTTTGTTTGTGACCTGCAGACTTAGGAACAATTAGAGTCCGACTGCAAAGTGTGTTACTTATAAAGAAATTAGATATTCTGGACTTTGGAGGAAACAATGTTGCTCTAATAGCAATGTTGTATGGTATAGCATGAGACTTCCAGGAGAATCAACTTGAAATACTATGGATCTCCAACAATATAACTAAAGCTTAGACATATCCATCAGATGCCAAATGTCACGTATGCAACCCTATTTTGTATAAAACAAAATATTGGGTCTGGAGTTTGCAGGAATAACGATAGTGAGGCTGCCAGTATTCACACTCTTCATAAGATAAAACACAGCATCTACGCAGACACAAATATGGAAGCTGTTGATTGATTGTTTAGCTCTTCCATAACCTTCATTACTCCTAAATCTCTGATTAGATTCAGCTTCAAAACCCATGTAAGAGCATTAAGTTGTACTTTCTTCCTTCTTACCCACATTTTTAAAAAAAAAAGCAAAGTTCGACTAATGCATTCAGGTGCATGTGAATGTTGAATGGTGTGATGAAACTTACTTTAAAACCATCTCCCTCATTCTAAAATGTGTAACTGTACACGAGTGTTTCATTCTTTCAAAATGTCTTTCTGTGTTGGAGATTTGAAAAAAGTCTTTTTAACTTTCTTGTCTCCATCTCTCCAGATCCGTCCGTCCTTTTCCTGACTCCTTTGCATTTTTCGCATGATTTGAAATAAATTTGAACAGTAAATTAAAACCGGTGCTGAACCAAAAGCCCACGAGCAGCAAGTTGCTGCTCGAAAATTCCTGAGATCACAACAAGCAGGTGTAAGATAGTGGGCCAACTTTGCATTGGTTTGATTCATGTGGTGAATGTTTTTCTTAATGATTAACTGTGATGTAATCAGAAATGTTTCACTTCATACTAACAATTATTGTGGTTTTGATGTGAATCTAGTTACTAAAGCCATTGCCGTTCATATTTAACAGGCCAATTAATGAAGATGAAGTCCAAATCCTTCACAATAGACAGTATGATGCTATTGCTCAGAAGCAAGTGGCAGTGGACAAACAGCTCCAGACTGAGGTACAATGTAGATAATTTAGTTCCTTGCATTCTGTTCTTTTCTCTTTGAAAATAAATTGATAACTTTCAAATTATTAATCCCAGAAATTACTAACATTGGAAGCTTTGTAGAAGCTTTTAGCCAGTAGAATCTCTAGTACATTTTGAATAGTATGAAAACAAGGTTTTCTGCTATGTCTCAGTAAAATTCTGTCCAAGTTGCAGTAATGCTTAATTGGTTCGGAACCTCAAATTCAAAGAACACAGATTTATAATTCATCATGGCAAGACAGTATAGAGGCATACGCTGAGATTCTACATTTAACTTGTGTAGATCGCTTCATTGCAAACTCCATTAGGTGAGTGAACAGTCATGTGCACTTTGCAATGTCAATCTATTCTGTGGCCTGACGAATGAATGTCTGCTGCAAATTAGATACTTTTATTGTGTGACCTGTGTTGCATCATTTCATATTCAGCCTGATGACTGATTTTTCTTGCATTGAAATACCAGTAGCTACATACAGCATCTCTGTAACTCTAATAAAGTAATTTGAAGGCTGATGGACTCAGTTCAAGTATTGCAATAAAAAAATTTTCATTATGATTTTAGTAGGAGACAATAAATGCCTCAACATTTTGTACATACAAAGGGGGATAACTACATTTTATTCATGATTCTCTACCAAGCCGATTTCTACATCTGTGCGAATTTTCCAAGAAATCGTTTTCTTGGACCGTTTGCACAATATGCACAACATCAGGCTGTTTGAATTTGTTTCTACTAAAATTGATTCAAAACACGAGGAGTTATTGAAACATTATATTCTTCCAAACCACATTTCAAGTAATTTATTCTGAGAATGCAATGTTCAGCAGGTCCCTTCAGGCCTCGAGCTGGAGGATCTCGTCACCTGTTTGGCAAACAAACAAATGCAGATTGGGTCATGGATAGATTGAAGGATTGGGCAATATGTCGCCTCTTCAACCACAAAGGTGCATGGTGGACACTGAAGTGCCTCTGCTACTTATGTTAGCTTTGTTTCATACTTTCCCTTTCCAGGAATCAATCAAGTTTATTATTAAAATATTGATATACTTAGGTAGACTGGGTGATACAGCAAATTCCAATGGTGTCTTCTCATCTTTTGAACAGAAATTCAGATATAAGTTTTTTTTTTTTAAATTATTTTCAATCATCTAAACTCTAGTGAGTATAGTCCCAAACTGAAACTTCTTCAAAAAATTCTAATAGATTAGTCAGTTCACAAGACAATCCCTCTGTATCAGGGATCATCGTAGTGAATCTTCTCCAATCGTCTGTCATGAAATAATCTTTCTTTACGTAAGGGGACCAAAACTGCTCACAGTACTCTAGATGTAGTCTCACCAGCACCTTGTACAGTAGTAAGATGTCACTATTCTTAACCCCTTGAAATAAAGGTCAACATTCCATTAACCTTCCTGATTACTTGCTGCACCTGTTTGCTAGCTTTGTGTTTTGTGCACATGTACCCCAAAGTCCCTTTGCAGCTATCTTCACTTTTCTCCATTTAAATAACACTGTGGTCTTTTGTTCTCCTTTCAAAAATGAACAACTTCACATTTTCCCCACATTACATTACATTTGCCAACTTTTACCTATTTTTGTAACCTATCAAAATATCCTTGTAAGCTGTTTGTATCCCTCTCGCAATTTCCCTATCCACCAATTTTTGTCATCTGCAAATTTGGCTGCAAAGCATTCAGTTCTTTTCTCCAAGTCATTCACATGTATTGTAAACAATTGTTCCAGCACTGATCCCTGTGGAATCCCGTTTGTTCCAGGTTCCCAACCTGAAAAGAACTCCTCTCAGCTTGCTTTTTCCTACCCGCTTAGCAATTCTCTATCTGTGTCAATATACTATGTTCAACACCATGAGTTCTCATCATCCAACTTAACCTTTTGTGAGGTACCTTGTTGAATGCACTTTGGAAGTACAACACATCTGTTGGTTCTCCTCTATCCTCTTTGGTTGAGACTTCCTCGAAAAACTGTAATAAATTTGTCACACAACTTCCCTTTAGTGAAGCCATGCTGACTCTGCTTGATTAGTTATGATTTTTCAAATGTGCTGCTATTACTGCATTAATAATTGATTCCAACAATAAATGTTAGGCTAATCAAGCTATTGTTGCCCACTTTTTGCCCCTCTCCGTTTTTGACTAGGGGTGTTACGTTGGCAATTTTCCAACTTTGCAGTACTTCTCCATAATCCATGGATTTTTGGAAAATTACAACAAATGCATCTACTATCTCTGTAGCTACTTCTGCGAGGCAGTAGTGCTAACCACTGACCCACTATGCAGCCCCTTCATTTTTTTTAAAATTCCAGCAAGTACAAGCCCAGTCAATCGAGTATTTCTTTATATGCCAGTCCTGCCATCCGACAAATAAGTCTGGTGAACCTTCGCTGAACTCTCTCAATAGCAAGAATGCCCCTCCTCAGACTAGGAGACCAAAACTGCACACAATACTCAAGGTGTGGCCTCACCAAGGCCCTGTATAACTGCAGCAAGACAAGCCAATTCCAATACTTAAATCTTCTCGCTATGCGGGCCAGCATGCCATTAGCTTTCCTCACCAGCTGCTGCACCTGCAAGCGGACCCTCAACAACTATTCCACCATGAGACCCAGTTCTCTGCACCTCACCTTTTCGTAAACCGCCACCATTCAGATAATAATCTGCCTTCCTGTTTTTTGCCACCAAAGTGGATAACCTGACATTTATCCAAATGATATTGTATTTGCCCACTCAGCCAACCCATCCAAGCCACCCAGCAGTCTCATAGCATCCTCCTCACAGCACACACTGTCACCTAGCTTAGTGTCATCTGCAAATTTGGAGATATTGCATTCAATTCCTTCGTCCAAATCATTAATGTATATTGCATTCATCTATATGATTCTGTAGTGATAATGGTGATACCTAATTCCTTCCTTGTATTATTTAAATATTAATGGGATGTTTGAGGTATCTTGCACATGAAGATACATGCCAAATATCTGTTTAACTCTGCCATTTCTTTGTTCTCTAAAAATATCTCCCCATATTCATTTTCTAAGGAGCCTGTGTTCACTTTGATCCCTCTCTTCCTTTTTATGTATTCGAAGAAGCTCTTGTCAGTTTTTTAAAATTCCTTGCTGGTTTGTCCTCGTAGTTGATTTTGACTTTCACTTGAATAACTTTTTAGTACTCCTTTGCTGGATTCAGAATTTATCCCAGCCTTTGGGACCTATGCCTCCTTATGTATATTTTCTTTCAACCTAATAGTCTTCTTACCCTCCTTGGTTAGCCATGTTGGATTTGTCCATCTCTTAGAATCTTTCCTCCTCACTGGGATATATTTTTGCAGAGAGTCATGAATTACGTCCTTGTTTCCAACCCAATTTTCTCTCACTCAAACAGTTTAATAAATTCTTTTGTGTTTATGATTACTACTTCCTCAGGGATCTTTTACTCTGAAATAATTTATTAAATCTGCCTTATTACCCATTACCAGATCCAGGATAGCCTGTTCCCTGGCTGGCTCCATGACACATTGTATTAGGGATAATTTCCTGGAGCACTCTCTCTGAATTTGTTATCACAGCTACCCTTTCCAACTTGATTGAACTAATCAACATGAAGATTAAAGTCACCATAGTTGCTGCTCTTTTATTTTTACGTGCTCCTATTATTTGTTGAATTACACCCTTTCCTACACTATGGGTATTGTTTGGGGGTCTATACATTAATACTATCAATATCTTCTTTCTCTTGCTGTGATTTGCTTTCATCCAAATGGACTCAACATCATCTGAGACTAGATCATCTCTTACAAGAGTCCTCATTTGATCCTTTAATAATAGTGCTATCCCACCGTATTCTCCTTTCCCGCATCCCCCCCCACCCCGCCCCCCGTCTTTCCGAACGATCAAATATCTTTGAATGTTAAGTTCCAAGTTCTGATCTTCTTGTAACTACAACTCCATAATGACCAAGAAATCATATCCATTTATCTCAATTTGCACAGTCAGTTCATTTGCCTTATTCTAAAGGCATTGTACATTAAGGTTACAAAGCCTTTAAGCTTGCCTTTATCCCCAGATCGTTAGCCTGGATTTCTGAATTACTTGCCCACTAAACTACCTCTAAACCACAATCTCCCTATATGAAGTTGGTGTTTTCTGGTTTTTGACCCAGTAGGACAGAAACGTAAGCATTCTTAATTTGCCAAGTAATACGTGTTTTGGTAAAATTGCCCCCCCACCCCACCAGATGATAATATGGCCTGTGGCAGAACTGAAAACAACTCCATGAAAAAGATTCAATGAAAAATTGTTGTAAACAGACTCGGGAACATTGCATTATGGAAAAAATAGTGTTCTTGTTTTGTCAGTTCAAAATACACAACTGCTTGAATGGCTGAAAGCCTCTTGCAATGTACATATGTGTTTTTAAAACCCATCTATAAGTTTCCGTATGTATTTCTAAAATCCCATTACAATATGAATATCGAACACCAAAGATCATCTTGATAAGCCATTTTTATAAGAGCCTTAAAATGTAAAAAGATATTTGCACAAGAAAGCATTTATTTTGAATTGAGGAACTATGTCATTAGATGTGAGGAATAAGGTCCTTTCTAATTGCCTCATGTTTGTACAAGTACCAGTTTCAAAATATCTAATTCTGACAGAACTAACACCTCTTGGTGAAATCCAGAGTTCTGTTCTAAGGTTTATGGCTGCTTTTGGACTTGCCTGAATCAAATCATTTGAACGATCACTCCTCACTAAGATAATTGGAATAAGGAATCTGGCACCATTCTATGTGCCTTCTCCCACTGAATTGTAGCATTTGAATAACAGAAGTCCCTGTGGGCATCATTACACATGTTTTACAGCATAAATATCTGATGAGGGCAGGGAATCTTTGTGGAACCAGTTCTTTTTTTTTTCTCAAATGCTATAAGCCAAACAAGGCTGTCAAACACATTACAGGAAATTGACCTGCAGTTCACCTATTCACTCACATTCTTTTCTTCTCAAATCTCAGTAGCTTCCCTCTGGGTGCCTCAAACCTGAAAAAAAAGGGATCTGTTTAAGAGTATTGCAATTGTGGTTTCTTCTAACTTACAAGATACCCATATTTTCAGGGTAGCTTCCCACCTGATATCATAGAATCTCTATAATGTGAAAGCAGTCCATTTGGCCCATCAAGTCCACACTGACTCTCCAAACAGCATCCCACCCAGACCCAACCCCCGCTACCCTATCCCTGTAACCCTGCTAATCCACCTAGCCTACACAGTGGGCAATTTAGCATGGCCAGTTCACCTAAACTGCACATCTTTGGGCTGTGGGAGGAAACCAGAGCACCTGGAGTAAACCCACACAGACATGGAGAGAATGTGCAAACACCACACACAGTCGCCTGAGGGTGGAATCAAACCCAGGTCCCTGGTGCTGTGGAGTCTGCAGTACTAACCACTGAGCCATCATGTCACCCAAATGTTATGTTCCTGTTCTTTCCATTTTTGGTCTTTCCTCTGGATCGCATACACTTTGCCAACATATAAAAGGATATGGCTAGGTATGGATTAAACATTATGCGAAGACGCCTGCTCTTGTCATGAGATGACTTTTCAATGCATCCTGTGTACTGTCGTTACAATAAATCCGTAGAATGGGAAATCTGTTTTCAGCCCGTTAGTTAACGGGGTACTTACAAGAGCATCTTTTGAAATTAGGACCTTGCAACATCAAATATTGGTACAGATGTCCTTTAAGCTAACTTTGTATGTTAGTTCAGTATTTTTATTTGATTTGATTTATTTATTGTCACTTGTCATTTGTTACAAAATACAGTGAAAAGTGTTGCCATTCTCCAGCGCCAGCTTAAAACACGGAAAAATAAACTAAAACATAGAATATAAAGGCAGAAAAATAAATAAAAAGTGTTCAGCTTTACAGTCCTTGTTAAATGCTCTTCCATGAGCCATAGGCCTGGTGGCCAGGCACGAGTCCCCTTCACCGTGATGCTGCCGCTGGAACAAAAGTCACCACTCATCGACACCATCTAGCCTCCACTGATGCCCTCATTACTATGAATCCTTGCCAATGCCGACACCACTGGATACCATACTGGGCCAAATTTGACTCTACCGTCGCTGCTGCCATGAGTCCACTTCGGGCCCACCTCCATGAATCTGCACTGGACGCTGCCGGGAACGCAAACTTGCCTCTGCCGCAGCAGCCATAAGCCGGCACTAGGATTACCTCGTTGATGTAGAAGCCACTGGTAACCCGACTCCCCTCCGCCACCACCACGAGTCCGCGCTGGGCTCACTCCCCACCGCCAATGCCGTTACCGCAAACCAGCTCCTCTTCAAGAGGTAAGTGAAATGAAAGAGAAAAGGAAAGAAAATAAAAAGGAGAAAAGAGGTAGATAAAGAAAAGAATCAAGAAAAGGAACAGACGAGTCCTTGGCTCAGAAGCTGTACTCCACTGCCATCTTACCAGAAGCTTTAAGTGGTCTACATTGAGTTCAAAATCTGAAGAAATATTTAAATGTGCATTATTTGCAAGCATTGAGGACCAGTTTCCAGACATTATTTTTCAACCCCTTGTATAAGCATCTATGATGTATATTTTAGCAATCAAATGGCTGTGTGTTTAATCTGCAGGGCATTTATTTTGATTATATAATTCAATCCAATGTAATATTTAGCAAAATAGTGGTTTTACTTATTAGAGTGAATATTTTGTTACTTGTATTTTGTCTTGGCAGTTGTCCATTCTAAAAGATTTGTAAGGATGGGCTTACAGGCAAGCCAACTTGATTAAACGAGACAACAAGGTGCAGGGCTGGATGAACACAGCAGGCCAAGCAGCA